ATAAAGCAGTATGTGCTTCAGTGGACCGAGCTTTATCAGCAGACGTGTGGGATCTGGACGAGGATCTGGTCACCTGACACATGAACTGTGGGATCACTCTGTGGAAGATGGAGCCCTTGTATCCGAATCCATGTTCACCGGTGCACAGAGCTCGGAAATTCTCTAGAAAACACAAAAGAAAAAAACTCACGGTTGACCCAAAGTACACATACACTCATATACACACATGCAGAATAGAAAAGACAGTACAATATAATGAATATAAAGTGTTTTACCTGCTGTTTTGGGCACAACATCCGCATTCAGCTACAGTTCAGGAAGAGAGTTAAAGGTCAATAAATGTCAATAAACCCTTAAAAACATTGTAAAAATGGGTCACACTGAGAAGTAAACACACATAGAAACTATAGCTACATTTGCTTGAGCATCTAAATAATTTAACTGACAATTTTCAGAAACATGTTACGCACGAAAGTATTATAAAATAAAGTATTTTTGTACAGGTTGTGAGTATTCTACTATGGAGAAGGCCGACCTTATGAATATTCATTAGTTCGTGAATCGTCCACACACTTAATTAATATTCACAAACACTCGGAAGAATTCCTTGATTCGCCAACTGTTTAGCGTCTCGCGTTCTTTCAGCCAATCAGAGAAACTAGCTAGTCGAACGTCATTAATATTCATAAGCCGAGCCTTACGCATAGTAGAGTTCGTAACTTCTCTCACACTCACTTCGAAGGTGACTCTACCGAGCGGCTCGTTGTCCGCCGCGATGTCGAAGAACACCACCGGGTTGCTGTTGGCTTGAGCTCCGGTGGCGTACATACGCGCCGCGGTGAACGCCAGCGAGCAGAATTTAACCCTGTTACCGATGAATAACATGCTGATTCCGGTTACCGACTCGCGCCGAGTTACTGACGCACAGGAAGCGCTGAAGCGTCACACGGAAGCGTTCAAGAGAGCGCTCGCGCGTTTGGTCACATGTTGATTCATAAACATAAATAATAAATAAATACATGTGAATTAATATAAAACAATTCTAAACGTTAAGACCTATTATAATATTATATAAGATATTTTAAAAAAACTGTTTTAACTTTTAAAATGTAAAAATAATTAAATTTATTGTTAATGTAAAATATAAAATATTAAATTTAAATAAAATATGTAAAATAAATAAATAGTAATAAAATTGAGCTTTTATATAAATATATATTTATTTATATACTTTTTGACTACTATGAATACTTTTTAGTAAATAAATATCTATAAAATAAGTTAATCAGCAACATAAATAATAATATAATATAATAATAATAAACCTGGGGATGCATTAATTGTTAAATCACAAAAAAACCTAACTAAATAAATGCATGTGACTGAATATAAAAAATTATAAATATATAAAACATAAAACAAGATTATGTTAATATTAGTGACCTAATTAAAAAAAAAAAGTGCAATGTTAAATGTGAAAATATAATACAAATATAAAACATAATTATTTTTTTCAGCCAAGTTTATGTTGCCATCAATGCACACCGAGTCAAAGCAGAATTATGAGTGAATGTCAAAGGTTGCTACAGTATATCATCAAACCCTGAATGATTCAAATGCCTTTTAAAGATCTATTTAAGTGGACATCAGAAATGAATGAAGACATAAATAGAATAATGCAGTGTTTGTTGTAAGATTACAGTCTCAATTCGGGTTATCCACCGAAAGCAGTTCATGAACTCAAAGAATCAATAACTCAGCTTAATAACACAATCATTATCAGTCAACAGGGCATGGAGCTGGAGATTAGAGAGGAGTTTATTGAGGTTTGATGTGACGTCATTAAACCAGATCTGCAGGACCAAAGAATCACAATCAGATGCTTTATTTCTGCTTCACACAGTGTGACAACAACAGCCACGATCCCATGAGTCGCCATAAACATTGATCTTCCCGGCAACAAACAGAACAATCACTTATTGTGTGAGTGAGATGCGTCTTACTAGAGTATTCAGGAGTTTAAAGCAGAAAACAGAGATTAGATGTGGTCATGCAGCCTCAATGATTTCACAGATTCAAGTGATTTAGAATCAGATATTAAGATATTATCTTTCATAAAATAGGGAAGACGTGTGTGTAATTTTTTGCCAAGTGATATAATCATCAGAACAGGCATTAAAGTATAAGAACAATAAAAAATAATTTACCAAAACCAAACAGAGCAAAAAATAATATTAAAAACCAATTAACATGTCCGTTAGCTTTTACATACAGCTGCCCTTTCTACAAATAAACAAGCCTGTATAGATTTATTTCACATACGGCTGTTATATTTACTTGTACATATTAACAATATTTCTCATATTAACATACTCTGTATATCAATAAAATATCCTTAACTGCGCCTCCGACAGCTTCACACATTATTGGTTTCTTAAAAGGAAGTGTATTTTTGGAGCATTTCAAGCTTTATTCCGTCTGGATGTGAAACACATGATGATTAACACAGGCTGCGTTCACAATTACGTAACAAATCTAGTGTAGTTTCCACACACTACTGTCATGATTATGAGATGAAAATCAAAATGACTATAAAAGTCATGATTATGACATACTCGGTCACAATTAGGAGAATAAAAAGTCAAAATTAGGATATAAAAAAATCTAAATTATGACATACTAAGTCAAAAAAAATTCATTAAAGATAAAAAAAGTAGATTATAGACAAAACAAATTATGATACAGTCAGATTTTTTGCCTTTTTTAAATCTAATAATTTCACATTTTTGTCAATTTCAACTATTATAATTTTGACTTTTTGCCATATTTTTGACTTGATTTGTCATAATTTCAACTTGCTATGTCATCATTTTGACTTTTTATCTCATAAATTTTATCTTATGACATAATTTCAATTTATCTCATAATACACTCTCATAATTAGGACGTACTACAATTTCGACTTTTTACCTCAATTATGACAAGTCATAATTTCGATTTTTTTTTTTAATCTCATAAATTACTTGTCATAATTTCAATTTAGTATGTCATAATTTTGAAATTTTATCTCATAATTATTACTTCTAATTTCTATTTATTTCATACAGTAATTCACTTGTGTCATAATTTTGACATTTTATCTCATAATTATGACATCATTATTTTGACTTTTTCCCTCATAATTATGACAAGTAATAATTTCAACATTTTATCTCATAATTTTGACTTATGTCATAATTATTTACTTCCTTCCATATTCATTTACTTTCATCCCATAATTATGACATCATTATTTTGACTTTTATCTCATAATTATTACTTATAATTTCAACTTATCTCATACAGTAATTCACTTGTGTCATAATTTTGACATTTTATCTCATAATTATGACTTAGTCATCATTTCAACTTTTTATCTCATAATTATGTCATCATAATTTCGACTTTTATCTCATAATTGCCTTATGTCATCATTTTATTTTATGACTTAACAAAGCATGTTTTTTTCTCATGTGGCAGAAATGGTCTTCCTTGGTGAACAGAAGAGATTTCTTTCAAAAACATTAAGACACCTTACAGACCCCAGACTTTTGTGTAAATATATTTCATTGCCAATATATAAAATAGTATGCAGTATAGTTCAGTATAGTATTGCATTCTGAACGTAGCCTGTCTTTCACACACTCTTATAATGAATACTCATAGACAGAAGAAACATGGACGACCAATCAAAAACAAATGTATTCACAAATATTTACATGAGCTTCTCTAAAATAGCACAACTGCATTATGAACAGTAGTGAACTAGACGGATAATTGCACGGTGGGAGCTTGATTTGCGTTTTCTCCCTTTACGTTTCCAAACAATGTGATTTGTTCTGAATAAGAGCTGTGCTTGGATTGAACGTTTGAGAATCGCTGCTGAATGATGAACAGAAGCAGCTTATCAGACGTGGAGGAGGAGTAACATGAACACAGTATGACAGCGGACGGATGTTTGTCCGGTTCTTCGTATCAAAATCAAAGCAAGTAGAAAAACGCTACCACACTGCTTTCACTCTCATGTGGTAGAAAAGACTGAATTTAGCTGCTAAGTTCACTTCAGCTCTAAACATTGAGTGATATTCATACGCTCTCTGTCATTCTGACAGATAAAAACAAGGTATCTGGAAGCAGAAATAATGGTTATTGTCGGTGTGCGTCCATCTGTCCGCGCTGGTTTTGAAATCTGTAGTCTGTACAGGAAGAGGAAGTGACGATAAGTGCATTTCTGTTTGTCAGATATAGAGGTTTGAGGTCTCAGTTATTCTCAAAGAGAGACAGCAGGTCGTCGTTGCTGCTGCTGGGAAGGTCTGGAGGATCCAGGTACGACAGAAGATCGTCTGGATTCATCAGGTCTGGCAGCAGCTGCAGGAGGGAAGCAAGCAACACTATTACCGTATTGGCCCGAATATAAGACGACCCTGATTATAAGACGACCCCCCCTTTTTCCAGATGTACCTTTTGGAAAAAGGCTTTTTAAAAACCAAATCTTGTTTTTTCTCAGTAAAACACATTTTGTCTTCAATTATTTTCATATTGCATATTTTTCCTATTTAAATTTTTGTTTTGAAAGTATGGTAAAAACTGGTAAAATGTACCAACAATCACATTTAAAAAATATACACTTTTTGATATACCATAAAAAAAAAAAAAACAGGTAGCCCATCTGAATTAGGACATTTAGGCTATCCATCTAATAGTAGCCTACCAAAATCTTATTAACAGTAGAAGTAAAATCTTACTGTAGTCTTCAAATCTATCTTTGAAAGTAACTTTTTACTACCAAGACACATCTGTCATTAAGTGTCATTCGCTCAGTTATGTCATTTTTAATGCAAATATGACATTATTTATGACTTAACAAAGCATGTTTTTTTCTCATGTGGCAGAAATGGTCTTCCTTGGTGAACAGAAGAGATTTCTTTCAAAAACATTAAGACACCTTACAGACCCCAGACTTTTGTGTAAATATATTTCATTGCCAATATATAAAATAGTATGCAGTATAGTTCAGTATAGTATTGCATTCTGAACGTAGCCTGTCTTTCACACACTCTTATAATGAATACTCATAGACAGAAGAAACATGGACGACCAATCAAAAACAAATGTATTCACAAATATTTACATGAGCTTCTCTAAAATAGCACAACTGCATTATGAACAGTAGTGAACTAGACGGATAATTGCACGGTGGGAGCTTGATTTGCGTTTTCTCCCTTTACGTTTCCAAACAATGTGATTTGTTCTGAATAAGAGCTGTGCTTGGATTGAACGTTTGAGAATCGCTGCTGAATGATGAACAGAAGCAGCTTATCAGACGTGGAGGAGGAGTAACATGAACACAGTATGACAGCGGACGGATGTTTGTCCGGTTCTTCGTATCAAAATCAAAGCAAGTAGAAAAACGCTACCACACTGCTTTCACTCTCATGTGGTAGAAAAGACTGAATTTAGCTGCTAAGTTCACTTCAGCTCTAAACATTGAGTGATATTCATACGCTCTCTGTCATTCTGACAGATAAAAACAAGGTATCTGGAAGCAGAAATAATGGTTATTGTCAGTGTGCGTCCATCTGTCCTCGCTGGTTTTGAAATCTGTATTCTGTACAGGAAGAGGAAGTGACGATAAGTGCATTTCTGTTTGTCAGATATGGAGGTTTGAGGTCTCAGTTATTCTCAAAGAGAGACAGCAGGTCGTCTTTGCTGCTGCTGGGAAGGTCTGGAGGATCCAGGTACGACAGAAGATCGTCTGGATTCATCAGGTCTGGCAGCAGCTGCAGGAGGGAAGCAAGCAACACTATTACCGTATTGGCCCGAATATAAGACGACCGCGTTTTTTCAGATGTATTTCCAAGAAAAAAACATCGTCTTATATTGGGGTCAATACGGTACATGCTGCTTCTGCACTGTGTTTACTGATCGTATCATCTGATTAAAAAATAATTACTAGGGTTTTTTCAACATGATTCAAACTGTTTCTCTCAGGTTACACAAACATACCAAACAGTTATCAAGCTTTTCTGCTGTACATGTAATGATATATATATATATATATAAAATAAAAACAATAATAATACTTTTATTTGTTTGTTTGTTTTAGTTGTTATTTTTAAGGCAGAATATACAAACATGAAGAAAAAGAAATCAAAGATCATTAAAAATAAGCACAAAAAAAGCTACGATAAAAGTGTAATAGTGTAAGTAAATAAACAAAATGAAATAAAAAATTTAATGTAAAATTAGTAAAAAAAAAAATTTTGTTATATATTTTGATATTATTATTGTTGTTGTTTGTTTATTCGTTTATTTGTCTGAACTCACATCTAAGGAGGCCTGGCGTATGTCTGCGCTGCTCTGACCCCCACACTGAATCTCCAGGTTGGACGCGGGGTTAAAGGTCACGTCTGGGTGCATCTGGCTGGGCGGTGGTCTGCAGGCATGGGGCGGGCCGCTGTGATGTAACAGCTGCATACTGTGCTGCAGGGGATTGTGGGATTGATTTGTGTTGAGGGGGTGAGGCGTCTGTGACTGAAAACAGAAAATATGCATGAACTGACATTAAGGATACTCAACACTGATATCATCTGATTAATATACACTACCGCTCAAAAGTTTGGGGTCAGTACATTTTTATTCTTTCTTTTTTTGAAAGAAATTAAAACTTTTATTCAGCAAGAATGTGTTAAATTGTTGAGAAGTGATAGCAAAGATTTATATTGTTAGAAAAGATTTATATTTTAAATAAATGCTCTTCTTTTTAACTTTTTATTCATCAAAGAATCCTGAAAAAAGTATCAAGTCTTACTGATCCCAAACTTTTGACTGGTAGTGTACATATTATTATTATTGTTAAGAAAAAGAAATCACAAAAACAATTAAAAGCGATAAAAAAAATTATAAAAGCAATAAAAAAACAAGTATGATGAAAGCTACAATAAGAGTAAAAAAAATAAACAAGGAAATAAAAAAACTGTACTGTAAAAATAGTATTTATACAAAAGTTTAATTTCTTTAAAAATGTGAACTTACACATTTATAAATTTAGGATGCACAACATATCAGCATTGGCTGATATCAGTGTTTTTCTTATTATTATATCATCTGATTAAAATTGTTTTTTTTTCTAATTCACACAATTTCTCTCAGGTCACAGACATACCAAATACTTACCAATATTTTCTGCTAATAATATATAAATATATATAAAAAATAACAAAACAAATAAATAAATGTAAAAAAAAGTTAAGGATCCTTATTTTATTGTTATTATTTATAAGGTAAAATATATAAACATTAAGAAAAAAAATCTTAAAAGCGATTAAAAGCAATAAAAAAAGACAAAGTATGATTAAAAGCTGCAGCAAAAGTGTAATATAGTTTAAAATAAATAAATAAAAAGGGAATAAAATAAAAAATAAAAATATACTGTAAGAATACAATTTATACAAAACCATGAACATTTAAAATATACATGAATTGACAAATTTATATATATATATATATATATATATATATATATAATAACAAATAAATAAAGTTATTATTGTTATTTAAAGGGCATAATATAAAAACATTAAGAAAAATAAATAAAAAACTATTACAATAAAAAAGGAAATAAACAAAAAAACTTACATTATATGAAACTGTATATTTAAAATATTAACATAACACAAATATAAATACTGAATATCACTGCATCGTTAAAAGTAAATAATATTAAACCTAATTTATGAGTGAAATGCATCAGGAGTTTCTGTGTGTGAGCGCCACCTGCTGCGAGTCTGTATGTACTGATGGCTGTAAGTTGTGTTGTGGTTCTGAGACTCACGCTGTCCTGTAGTGTGTGCGTCAGGCTCTCAGAGGTCGAAAGGTCAGCGGGGGGGTGAGACAGGTGCGGCCCCTGAACGAACTCACTCACTGATGATGATGATGCTGCAGCGTTGCCATGGGGATAGTCACCAAACTTACTGTGGCCCTTGAAACTGTTGCCTGGGAAACAGAAGTCACATAAGAACCTGTACATTTGTATTTCCGTACAGTGTCTGAGTGATCTGAGGTGGGTGTTTCTGGGTAATATGACCGTACCTGGACTGTTGTACTGGTTAGTGCTGCTGTTCTGCTGCTGGAGGTTCTGGTTGGGGTACGGAGACGCTCCCGGGTCGAGCTGAGAGATCATGTCCATCACATTGGGCAGCACCATCTGACTGGGACTCGTGGTTTTGAAGCGCTTGGACATCAACCCGTCCGGATCTTCCTTTATGTGCGGCTCAGATTTGATCTGGACCGACCTCCAGCTGCACGACGGGTCTACCGTGACCTCCTCACACTCTGAGCTGCAACGACAGCACGTAGATCTGTGATCGGTCCGGTGCAAAACACCTAAACCAGCTGCCCTGGCTTGTTTCTGACTTCCAAAACCTCCAAAGTGAGCGCTAAATGTTGCGCTCTTTTAAGCCGACTTACTTCTGGAGAGCGTTCAAAATCCCCCACATGTACTGATCCACCTCCAGACCTTCTAACAGAGCCGCTTTACTGAAGAAGACAAACAGAAGATCAGTTCTGCATCACTCAAGCATCTCAGTCGTGATCTGAGGAGTGACTGGAGGACCTTACTTGCACACCGGACATCTCCATGAGCCCCGCTCACAGTTCAGCTCTAGATAGGACTCCAGGTCAAAGCACTGCAAGAGAACATTACCTCAACATTAACACAACGTTTAGACAACATTATCACACTCATATGTACATTTAAAGATGTTTTGATGCCAAATATGATTATGCCATTCCCTTTTCAATACTTTGTTACATTAAAATTAATACTTTTAATCAGATAAGATGCATTAAATTGATCAAATGCGGCAGTAAAGACATTTATAACGTTGCAAAAGATTTCCATTTCAAATAAATGCTGTTCTTTTGAGCTTTCTATTCATCTGTGAATCCTGAAAAATAAAATGTATCACAGTTTCCACAAAAATATTGTGCAGCACGACTGTTTTCAACATTGATAATAATCAGAAATGTTTCTTGAGCAGCAAATCAGCATATTAGAATGATTTCTGAAAATCATGCCCCACTGAAGACTGGAGTAATGATGCTGAAAATTCAGCTGCGCATCACAGAAATAAATTACATTTTACTATATATTCACATAGAAAATAGTTATTTGAAAGTGTAATAATATTTCACAATATTATTGTTTTTACTGTGTTTTTGATCAAATAAATGCAGCCTTGGTGAGCAAAGACTCATTTATACCGAGTGAGAAAAAATGTAAAATTATAAAGACATTTTTGCTAATTTTTAAAAAAATATTTTATACTTTACCGAAGGCAAAGCAAATTATTTAAAATATATATTTTTATATAATATGTAAAATCCAGACTTTGCATTAAGTATTGTATTGGTGTCTTTTTCTACCCTCTTTAAGGCTAATTCTAGAAATATTTTAAATTCAATTAAAGGGGTCATATGATGCGATTTCAAGTTTTCCTTTCTCTTTGGAGTGTTACAAGCTGATTGTGCATAGATAAGATCCCTGAAGTTGCAAAGACTAAAGTCTCAAAACCAAAGAGATATTCTTTATCAAAGTTAAGACTCTGCCACACCCCCCTAAAACGGCTCGTTCTAACACGCCCCCACATATCTACCCCACTATGTGGAAATATTTGCATAATGCCGCCCAAATGAGCACGCAAAGAAAGAAGGCGTGGTTTCAAGTAACCGCAGTTAGTGTTGAAGCAGCCATGTCAGAGAGACGCTGTGTTTTAAGTGCGAAAGCAAAAGCACTTTATTTGGCCTTCCGAAACTAGATGCATTTAGGAATCTTTAAGATTACTTACAACAGAACAGCAATGCATTTTATGGACGACCGTTCCGTGAACCTAGGAGAGGAGGTAATTCTGACTTTGCTATGACAATCTGGCGCTTCTGAATCAGCTACTGTTTTGCTATTAGTTTAAGTATTTGCTATTGACTGTTAAAATGCGGAGTTTTGCGCATC